ACGATTGTGAGACTGGAATGCACTATCATATACCATAAATGCGGAATTGATTTGGGTGTTTCAAAGTTAGATAGATATTTGAGAAGTAAATGTTTCAATGACTATGGAGAAAGTTCAGGGAGATGGGATTAATAATTTATGGTACTGCTGTGATCTAATAAAATCACGGAACAGGCTGAAGGCGTTCCTAGTTTTGATCATGAATTTACGTATAGATACTTCTTCATTGTGGCTTTTGTTGGTTTCACAAACTCATAATTCATTATTTTCTCAAGTTTTATCGTTGAAATGGCTTTGATGGTTTTCTGCAATAGCATTACAAACTCTCACCTTCCACATTGTTTGTCTCAATTGTGCTCGACAGCAACTAATTCAAATACAGTACCTATAATAATCAATTTTGTTTTTTCAACTGAGATACAATTTGGAATTATCCTTGTCATTGTCAAATGCTTCCCTACTTTTTCAGTCTGCTCTGGACTTATTCTTGTGCCCATCCCTTCTGCCCCACCAACTCTGGCCTGTTTTACGACCCCTGTCCATTACACCCATCTTTGGTGGGAGAGCTTTTAGTCATTTTGTTCCCTGCTTATTGGGATTCTTCAGAAATCCCTCCACCTCAAACCTAGGCTCTCTGCTTTAAATACTCACCTAAAAATCACATCTCTATGATTGTGCCTTTGGCAGTCTCCCTAACCTGCTCTTTATCTCTATCTTTATCTTTATATTATTATTATTATTATTATTATTATCTCTCCCAGCCGAGGCTCCCATTCCTTTTTGTAAAAATCTTTGAAATGTTCTTCTACGTGAAATGTGCTATTTAACTTAAAATCTTATTGGAATTAAACCAGATTTTACACTGTGTTAATTTACGTATCCATTGCCTGGAGCTGCTATATCATCACTGACCAGTGTGGTGGTTGCTCCTTGTTCAGTCATGCAAATTTGCTTTGATGTTGGTGGACCTTTCCAGATGGTGCTTCGTGACTTGAGAATTTTCCAAGCGACGTAGCTCCACCTGCTTTTCAAAGGGCTTTTTGAGCTTCTGCTTTCACATGCTACATTTTCCCTTTACTTCCTCAGTGTTGTTGGATTGCTTCTGTCTCCATAACCTCCAGCTTTAAAATGTGTAATCCCTTCCCTTGTTGCTCAGTTTGTGTTTCAGGTGGTAGCTGGTCTCATGAGTTGGTGTGAGGCGCAAGATTTTCCCTGTGGAAAAAGCAGTTTACATTAGAGCACTCTATCCGCAAGCGAGGAGATACTAACATTAACACTTATCCAAGAAATGTTTTTTTTCAGCCAACTGATGCTTAATTTCTTCATTGTGCTCATAGCATTACCTCTTTGGTTTAATTTAATCTTTTGATATTTGGATTATTTTGTTTTCTGCTTAATATATTCCACTTGCTGTCGCCAGTTATTAGGTTTTTTGTGTAATCTATTGTATTCAGGACAGTAGATATGCTCTCTTTTTCCTTTCCTTCTATACTACAACAACAACAAGATTACACTTGTATAGCGCCTTTCACGTTGGGAGGACGTCTCAAGGCGCTGGACAGAGTACAGCATTTCAGACCCGAGCTGGGGTTTGGGGGGGAGGAGAAGGGGGGTGGCCGATGGCATGGTCAAAGAGGGGGGTCTTGAGGCGGGACTTGAAGGAGACTAAGGAGGGGGTGAGGCGGAGTGACTGGGGGATAGAATTCCAGAGGTTGGGGACAGAGTGCCTGAAGGCTCTCCCGCCAATGGTGGGGACGTGGAGCAGCCAGAGCCGACTGAGGGGAGGGAGTGGGCGGATTGGTAGGGGGTTAGGAGGTCGCAGAGGTAGGGTGGGGCGAGGACATGGAGGGCTTTGTATGTGAGGACCAGGATCTTGAACTCGATCCTCTGAAGGATAGGGAGCCAGTGGGGTCGGGCGAGAGTGGGGGAGATGGGGTCACGGAGTTTGGTGCGGGAGAGGACACAGGCTGCAGAGTTCTGGATTATCTGCAGCCTGTGGAGGGAGGAGTTGGGAAGGCTGACAAGCAGTGCGTTTGCATAGTCGAGCCTGGAGGTGATGAAGGCATGAACAAGAGTTTCAGTGGCCTGAGGGGTGAGGTAGTGGCGGAGTCGGGCGATGTTACGGAGGTGAGGGAAGGCAGAGCGGGTCATGGCTTGAATGTGGGGGAGAAGACAGTTGAGGGTCGAACAAGACACCGAGGTTCCTGACTGGCTTTCTATAAAATATATGATACAAATCTGCAAGTCTGCCTCCCTCACAGCTAACTATTGGATGCTTACAGTAATATGCTGCTGGATTTGCCTTGTCTTGCGCACTTGCTACCACTATTAAAGCGCAGTTATATTCTTCTCTTTCTAGCTCCTTCTCGCATGGTAGCATCTTGGAGCGCAATCAATATCTTGAAATGCTGGGGTTTGATAGATATGTGGCAGATTTCCAACTTAATTAACTAGTTTTACTTATAGATCCAGTTACAGTATTGTAAGGAATGTTGCAAAGAAGAATAACTTGCATTTATGTAGCCCCGTCCTCCTGGTTGTCCCTCGTCCCGTCCGCTCCATTATCGGCGGCCTTGCTTTCACCCACTATGCCCCGAAGCTCTGGAATTCTCTCCCTCCCCGCTTTCAAATCCCGTCTAAAGACCTTCCTGTTTGATTGTGCTTACGGCCACCGTTCCTCTCCCTCTCCCCTGGCTCCTGTCAGACTCCGCCACTGTCGAGCCTCTAGGACTCCACCCCGCATGAAGGGCGCTATATAAATGCAAATTTTGTTGTTGATGTCATGGTGTGGAAGCGCTGACTTGGGGCGTGTGGGGATTTATGGATTCCCAAATATCAACTTCTAACAGGATTCTACCTGTAGAGGCTATTTGGATGTTCCGTCACCCATGCGGATGGGGGGGAGGGGTAGAGTGAAGAAATTACCTGGGATACTGTCCTTTTGGGAACTCATGCCCTGTCTGGGCAGGTGATCTTTCCACAAGCTTGTGCCAGCCTTGTACCAAGATACCATCAGCCAGGGCACAGAGTTTTTATGTGCTCAAGTAACAAACCAGTTCAGTATCGCAGGTAATTTCTTCACTCTACCCCCCCCCCCCCCCCACCACCACGGGAGATGGAACTTCCTAATTGCCTGTACAGGTAAGAATCCTCATTCAGCATGTATTCCACCATCCCCAACACATTAACATAAAAATTAGAACAAAAAACTGCTTTTTATTCTATTTGCTACTCTTGTCGAAAAGAGAGTGGAGTTTCCTCCAGTGTCCTGGCCAACAATCTCTCAAAATTAAATTGGTCAGTCACTCCGTGCCTGTTTGTAGGATGTTGCTGCATGCAGATTAGCTGCCACATTTGTCCACAGAATACGCAAAGCCACATCTGGTGAAGTGCTTTGAGATGCTACCCTGCAGATGTTTCCCAGCAGATTGAATTGTTGCATCGGCCAGTGAGAAAGCAGGAAAAGCACCATTTGAGAAATAATATCTACTACCTCTTTATAAATGAGCTATATAAATGCAAGTTATTGTCTCGACAACTTGAGATAAGGTACTATATCGAATGCAAGGATTATTATTTTATCTGAATTGCCTATGTAAACACTCACTGCACAATTATAGTGCTGTTTAATGTATGCTCTTCAGTCTTTTATCTTCCATTTATCTTGGGATAGGATCATTGTCTATCAGAGGAAACATGAAAGGAGCTACTTCCTTTGAAAGAACTTCGCTCAATGCAGTCCTGATAACATGATTTTTTCTGAATTCCACATTGCATCAAAGCTGTGCTGCCAGACCCATTCTCAAGAGCTTTTTCTCTCGGCCTGAAACATGCAGTATCTCATTTTTGCTCTCCTGAAAAGGTCTTGGTCCTTTTTTGTATCAGAAGCAGCTTTTTATTCTAATCTTCAGGGATAAATTTGTTTTTCTTGGCATTATATTCATTCCATATTAATCAAATTAATTAAGTTAGTATTTACTGGTTCAGAAATGCACTTTGCAGTTATTGAAGATGGCTTTAGTTCAGACAAGAACATTGATCTATATAACTGTGACTCCAATAGATATCATGTAACAAATATTTGAAGTCGGTGACCATTTATTCAGTGTAAGATAATTTTGTATTTGGCTACAGCGTCTGAGGCAAAAGTAGAAAGTTAGGGTTGTACTCTACTCTATGCCTCATATCTGAGGAGAAAATAAATTGTACCGTTCTACCTAGCAGTCTCCCTTTGGGTCTTAACCCAAGACTTGTGAACTTTGAGGCTTAGAGTGCCCTGGAACACAAATGCAGCTGTAGTGTCAGGTTGCTTGCAAAGCTCTCCACTACCATAAATACTAGCTTACATCTGCAGGCCACCTCATTGACTGTATTTCATACTTGTGTAGCTGAGGCTATCATTGGAATACTGTGTGGATGTTCATGTATTGTGCCTTCAAAAGGACACTGATGTCGATTGCATTAAAAAAAGTTAGAAGGATAATTCCGGGATTGAGGTCTCTTAAGTTGTGAGGAGTAAAGAAGAGGAATATGTGAGTATTGGCTAAAATTCCTTTTGAGCACTGTGGTCCATAAGTTATAAGCAATTCAGTCCATTTTTGCCACAACTATCCTTATTTATATGGAGAATCAGCAAGCTAAGCAGATTATTACATATCTATCATTTAGTAGGATCTTCCTGATTCTTCGTTTGTGGTTTATTGCGATATGCACAGTTTCACCTTCATATCTTATTGATTTTCTGTCAACATACTTTTACCCAGGATAGAATTGTGGGAAGAGTTGAGTGTCTCTATGGAGGCTATATTGAAGAAACACTTGTCTTTGTCTGTTTGATGTCTGTCCTACTGTAATCACAGCTATATGTAAGAGTGCTACGTCCAATGTAGATTTTAAAAGATAGTACAGATTCAAATCATTTTACTATGGAATATGTTGTATTGATATTATAATTAGATTTGATGTAACTTGAAGTAAATAAAATATTTCTAATCAAACAGGTTACCGACATTTGTGCTTAGTGTGAAGAAGGTCATGATGGCAACATCTGTTGGAGAGAGCCAGATCCAAAGGATAATCCGAGACCTGCAAGGTAAATATTACTGTAAATTTTGTAAAACAGTACATTGCCTTTTAATAACAAATAAAATTTGTTGTGAAGCTATCATTTTTCACATACAGGACTTGAACTGTAAATCGAGTAAAAAATGAGGCACTGTGACAATGTTCAATTCCTCACACTACCTTTTAAATAGCACAGGCTTTGTTCAATGTATCTGCCGCAACAATTCTGGGGAAGATGAAAATAACTTAAATTTTAATATTTTTAACATTACAGATCTATCATGCGTCAATCTCTAATGGGATTCTTTCATAAGGAAACCAGAAATATGTTGCAGGGACTCGTATGAACTATGCTCCATTGTAATTTTTTCCAGAGAATAGTTCCCACTAGTAACTGTGTTATTCTTGATCCAACACTTCCATTTACCAAATAGAATCCCCACTTGATTTCCTTATTAAGCAGCTCCCTTAGAAATCACTGCATATGAGACACCATTGTTTTCAAGAATATGAAATGGCTCTTGAAAAGAGATAATTAACTCAAGTAGATTGTAATATTAGAACAATCGTAATGTTAGAACAAGTGGTATGAGTGCAACCTGGAGATTTATATTTTTTAATGTATGTATTTTAAATTCTAAAATATGTTACTTTTTAAGAGGCAATTTCTGAGCTAAATCGAGAACACAAGGAAACTGGTGAACCTGTTACAGATGACAGCACCAATCTCCACAATTTCTCCTTAAAGTTAGAATATCTACTTCAGGTAAGATAATGCAGGAAATTGATTCATGATTTGCTTTGCAGTCAGTTGTCTTGGACACGATGGGCCGAATGGCCTTGGCCTGTGCTTTAATTTCTATGGTTCTGTGGAGAAACTTGCATTAATATCATCACAATTGTTGGCTTATTTTGAACATATGTGAAATTTACCCCACAAAAAGTATGGCTGGCACAAAAATTGATCCCAATTTGGAATAAAAATAATCCATAATATTAATAATATTCTTTTTGGGGAAAAAAAACTGATCATTCAGTGAGAATTCCCTAGAAGTGGAGGCTATCTTCCATAACCCACTCTTTATCGTGTCAACTCAGACCTCAATTTGAAGACTGCCTTACAATCATTCCTGTTTCATAGAATCATAGCTATTTACAGCACAAATGAAGTCATTTGGCATGTTGTGTCTGGCGGTGCTGGCTCTTCCATTGGAGTTGTTACTGACTGGGATTTACTCACACATTGCATCAGCATGAAGCTAACTGTTTATCTAACAATGTACATGGTAGGGTCAGAGAGACACAGAAGGGATAGAGAAAAACAGAAAAAAGAATGATAAACAGAAATAGTACGTTAGACGGACTCAGAAAAAGAGAGAATTAGCAACACAGGTAGACAACAACTTGCATTTAAATAGCGTCCTTCACGCTGGACGGTGTCTTGGAGTGTGCGGAGACAAGGCCATAAAGAACGTGAATAGAGTTCATGTCCAGAGGAATAGAGTACGAAAGTAGGGAAGTGATGTTAATTTTTTTTATAAAATCTTGGTTCAACCAGATTTGTGGAACTGTGTGCTGTCCTGGCCTTTATTTCAGGAAGGATACTGTAGCATTGGTGAGAATGCAGCGTAGATTTACAGGTATGTTACCAGGGACGAGTGGATACAGTTATCAAGCAAAATTGTACAGGTTGGAGCTTTTCTCTCTGGATATGAGACAATAGAGACTAGATTTGACAGAGGTGTTTAAGATTCAATAAGGTGGCCATTAATGGGCTATTTTCACTTATTGGAGTCTAAAATGAGTCAGCATAAATATAATATAGCCAATAGCAGATCTAAAAGGGAATTTAGGAGTAACTTCTTTATGAAATGAGCAAAGTAACATGGGAAAAGGACTAGACCATTAAGCCCCTCGTGGATCATGGCTGATCTGTACCTCAGCTCCATTTACTCACCTTTGCTCCATACGCCTTGATACCTTTACCTAACAAAAATCTATCGACCTTAGTCTTGAAAATTTGAATATGGAACTCACTGCCAGAAGCTGTGGTTGAACCGAAGAGCATCAGTGTGTTGGGAAACAATGCATACAGGAGGGAGAAGGGAACAGAATTGGAGATGGGATAAGGAGGGCTGGAGGTTCATGTGTAGCATACACGTGTAGTACAGACCAGTTGGGCCAAATGGCCTGTTTCCATTTCAATCTAATTTTATTAAGTAGGAAGAAGGATAGATACTCAATGAGAAAGAATCACTCAGAGAGAGATGGAGAGAGAAAGAATGTTAATGAGAGAATAGGAGAGAGTGAGAAGATGGCAGAATGTTGTACAGTGGAGCCCTGGTATAACTCAGTAGTTGAGGTCCATAAATTCCCAACCAATTCCAATGTTTTATAATTGGGAATGATTATCAGTCAGCGTTTCTGCCGTCAATAACAACAACAACTTGCAATTATACAGCGCCCCTCTTGCAGGGTAGCATCTCAGAGCGGTTGACAGTGGTGGAGACTGACACTGAGCTAGGGGGTGGGTAGGAGGGTGACTGTATGCACGGTTGAAGATCTTCAGGCACGACCTGAACATGGGGAAGGAGGGGGCAAGGCGGAGAGATTGAGGGAGAGTGTTCCAGAGTTTGCAGCACTTCGCTTGCGGTAGAAAGCTGTTTCACTTTGCAACAATGACTAATGCTTCACATACTGTAAATTGACCGACTTTCAGATCATCAAATTACCCTGACACCAAAGTTGCTTCCTGGCAGTGAATGGAAAGAAACTTTGGTTGTACCCTAATAACCCAGAAGTTGGACACAGTGCACAAACGTCTAGCAAGAGGCTTCTGCTCTCATTTTGGATAAATAAATGTTACACCCCAATCATACTATAAGAAAGCCTGCAAAATAATGTTGTGATAACTGTGTTCTTCTGTGCTACAACAGCAACTTGTATTTGTATAGCACCCTTGATGTAGAATAATGTTTCAGCTCGTCAGAAGGCTGAGACCCCAAGCAAGAAGGAAGTGACTGTAAGTGCAGTTGAAGAGTTTTTTTTAGGCAGTGAATAGAGAGGGGGGTAGGGCAAATGAAAACCCAGAAATAGGTGGTATAATGGCTGAAAGCTCAGTCACTGATGGTGGAGTGGAAAGGGCAGGACGAGCAGCAGGCCAGATTTACCCGAACAGAGGGACCGAACAGAAGAGTGTAGTCAAAATTCACGGAGATAGGGAGCTGCTAGGGCTTAAGGAGATTTGAGGGTGATGACCTTGAAGTCAATTTGTTTTTTGGCAGTGGAGCTTGTCAAGGGTTAGGGTGATAGCCGTGTAGAGTTTTGTGTGGGTGAAGATGTATGGTGGAACTTGGGAGTCCGGTGAGAAGTGCATTGGAAAAGTTTAATTGAGAGGTAATAAAGGCATGAATTTATATGTAACATATAAATATATATAAAACAAATGATATAATAATAATAATCCTTGCATTTGGTATAGCGCTTTTCACGTCGGGAGGACGTCCCAAAGCGCTTCACAGAACACTCTGTAAAGTGAATTGACTGTATATTTGTGGGCGAACGCGGCAGCCAATTGCGCACAACAATGTCCCACAGACAGTCGTAGATTGAAAATGACCAATTTATTATTGTTTTTGGAGGGATTATTATTAGGCTCTGTGTGGAGTAAGGAAACTTGCCCAAGGTTTCGCTCTGCCTGGAATTGAACTCAGGTCTCTCGCTTGCAAAGCGAATGCTCTAACCACTGAGCTACAGGACTCTACAGGATATAAATCATGATTGAACAATATTATAATATTTTGCATGGTCCTTCAATTATCTGCACTGTTTCCTTATTCACAATGGGGTTGATTTTTGTTTTTGAAGTTTGACCAAAAGGAAAAAACAAGCTTTCTCGGAAACCGGAGAGACTACTGGGACTACTTCTGCAATTGTCTGACTAAACTGAAAGGAGCTAATGATGGAATTCGCTTTGTCAAATCTATCCCTGAGGTAAGGCGCTGAGGTTCTCTAGAATTGCATTGGAGTGTCGTGTACACTTTTTTTCACAAATAAGCACCTGGTTGGAGCAACATTTTGAGGTTGTAATCTAATCTCTGGGTTTAGGTGATCGTGGTAATGAACTGGGTGTTGCTCTAGCATCTGTGGTCCAGTGAAACATTTGATTAGATCATTGGTTGCCTATCGCTCGTGTGCATCTGTATCCGTTATTGTCTGTATAAACCTGTTATTTTTCGTAAACCCAATTATGAATGAATAAAAAGAAATAGTTCTGAGAACTGTGAAATAATTACATTTTAAGGTGATCATGTGATATGACCAATGCTTGATTTATTTGAATAAATATCAACCCAATAACCTTGTAACAATTTTAAACATCTTTCCTACCTGTCTAACCTCTGACAAAAGATTGCTTTGATAAACCTATCTCTAAATCTAATAACTGATTTCATTTGACAGGTAGTTGTCTAGTTGCTTTTTGAAATTCATTCTAGTTTAAAGGCCTTATAAAGAGAATTTAACAGGCTATGCATATGGGCTGATATTTGATAAATGAGGTTTAATACAAATAAATAGAAGGTACATATAGGAAGTAAGAATAGAAAACGCAAATACTGGATGGATAAGATGGAAGTTGCTAATTAGTTAACTTATGACTGGAATAGATTGCCAATCGACAGGTTGGATCAGGACATCGGATTTGTCTGAAAAACAACTTGATGCTGTGATGGGGGGGAGTACAGGTATTCTGGAAGTTGAGATCAAATGGGTTGAAGGGCAGATGGTTCTTCAACTGAATTAAACTTGTGATCTTGTTGCATCAGCCTTAAAAAAAAGTGTCAAAACAATACCTGAAAACATTAAATTGGAAGATATTCAAAATCCATGGATTATTGACAATGGCCTCTCCAATGTCTGAAGATTAGTAACTCACTGGATCAGGAAGGGTGATATGGTTCAATTCCCCTCTCTTCTCAAGAACTGTTAGTAATTTTGTATCCACAAAATACTGGTTATTTATGGTGAAAATCAATAGTAAAAGGTATCAGTGGCCCTTACCCATTCTGCAGATTGATTTGCGAGAGCCTATGCTTTCTGATTGGAAGGGAAAATGAGAATGATAACTGTTTCTTAGCTGTCAGGCTTCATTGTTAATAATAAGCTGATAGCATGACTGGCTCTAGTTTATAGTGTGTGATAAGATGAAAATCAGTCCCTTAAAATATTGAAGAAATTTTTTTTGCATTCTTTGTATTTATGCTGCAGTGAATCAGTTTCTCAGCAAAAAAACACTTCCTCGGTGTAGTGTTAGCTGATGGACTGTGTGTTTCAAATTGTTCCACAATCGCATGGCTGAAATATACCCGGAAAGTACTCAATGAACTAGACTATAATGCACTGCTTGATTATTCATCATGGGGAAAATTTTACCTTGAATTCTGTATGCTTGAATTAAAATGAACATTTTCTTGTTAAGCTGAAAACCTCACTTGGAAAAGGCCGGGCATTTATTCGCTATTCCTTGGTCCACCAGCGACTGGCTGATACCTTACAACAATGTTTAATGAATGTAAAGGTTACAAGGTGAGAGTGGATATTAGAACTGTTCCCAATCAGTATAATAGTCTTTCAAAAGATTGAATTATTAATAGTTTTGAGAATACTTGTAACATAATTAAACAGCAAATTGATGTTATGACCTACCTTTGGATTTTAAAATGTCCCCCAATCAAAGGTTCCTTCCAACTATTGCATATTGATTTCTCTGAAGTGTTGTTGACAGGTGGTAGTGACCTATAGAATCAGATCACAGTAATACAGAGAACTCTGCGACGGTTACATTTGTAAATTGTAACTCTTGTAACATGAATTTATATATCATTATTTCTTTGCAAAATGGACAGTATCTCCATCATAACGTTTTATTATGTGAACACTTTATTTGTCCTGTGTTTCATTGAATGATTTTCTCTTCTTTAATAAATAGTGATTGGTACTATGTACGAAGCCCATTGCTGAAACCCCATCTCAGTTCTGATATCATCAATCACCTGTATGAACTAAACGAAGTTCAACTTGACTTGGCTTCCAGAGGGCATGACTTGGATGCTGCTTGGCCAACATTTGCACGGTAACATTGATAAATGGTTTACTTTGAATAGAACAATTATTAATAATAATTGTTGAATTTGATATAATGCCATTTCATGTTGTCAAGAAGTCTCAAAACTCTGATTTACTGTAAAGTGTGTGTATTTGTGGATGAATGGAGCAGCCAATCTGGGTACGGCAATGTCCTGCAAACAGCCATGAAATAAATGACCAATTTTATCTGGGGGATTGTTGGCCAGGATACTGTGCGAAACTCATTTCTCTTTTCAAATAATAACAATAGTAACGATAATGTTTGGACTCCTGTTGCGTCGTGATTAGCGCGTTTGCCTTGTAAGATAGAGGAACTGGGTGGAGAAAAACCTTAGGCATGTTTCCTTATTCCACATGCCTCTGTTTACCTAGCAGTAAGTAGGAACCCTGTTATTAGTCGATTGGCGGATCGCTTTCTGGGGATGATAACCCCTCCAAAAAAAAATGGTCATTCAATCCACGATTGTTTATGGGAGACTGCTGTGAGCAATTGGCTGCTGCATTTCGCCCACATAATACAGTGAATCCACTTTATAATATATTCTGTGAAGCGTTTTGAAACATCTCAACAATGTAATAAGGCACTATATCAAATGCAAGGATTATTAATATTTATTATTATTATATCCAGGCAAGTGGGTAGATAGAGCCTCAGTTTGACTCATCTGAGGGATGGCATCCCTGACAACGTAGCAATCGCCCACCACTATGTCAGCCTAAAACTATAAGTTAAAAGTCCCGATATGGGGCTTGAACCCATAGTCACCTGACTCTAAGAGATATGAATACTAACAACTAAGCCAACCCGACACCTTAAATTGAATTCCTCAGAGATGAGACATTGTAGTGACCTACGTGATGGATGCTGACAATGATTTTCAGTCCATCTTAGTGCCCATTGTGAAAGTGTTCGCAGTTTGAGGAATTTCTCACCATTGTAAGGTTCTGGGGATAAACCGTTGGGTTTCTCCAAACAAGAAAGAGGAAACACATTTTGCAGATAATTTTAGCAATGGAAGAGATAAATAAGCAATATCAGTTGAGGTTAGAGGAGCTAGAGCCCAGAACATTTGGAGATAATTTTAACAATAGAAGCTATAAATAGCAATTTCAGTTGAGGATAAGGAGATCGAGAGGACAAACATGATATCATTCGAAGAAGCAACTAAGAGAGCTGTCAAAGGTAAGAGTTGGTAGATGCTGATTGGACTTTGGAGCTTCATGAAGCAATTTTATCAAGGGTAGCTATTTCACCACAAATGAAGATTATGTCAGGGGTATTACAGAATATTGATGTTGTTCCTTAAATAATACCCGTACCTCATACTTCGTGTAAGTCATATTAAATGTGGTCCAGACTGATATGACTTATGTGAGTTTTACTAAATCTACTTATCTAAGAACTTGCCAAACTCTGAATGTGAAATGCTAGATAAATAGAGTACAATACAATTTACACTTGCACAACGCCTTTCACACTGGGGCCTCGTTCTTAAGCACTGGACAATTCTGGATGCGTGGCGGAGCCGGGAGTTGGGGGCAAAGAGAGGAAAGATGACACAAAAGCATGCTCAACAGAAATGCAGGTTGAAGAAACCTTGAAAGGGGGGAAGAAGAGAGCAAGATTAGAGTAAATTAGATCCAAGTGAAGTTCAGTTGTCTTGTCAGTTATTGCCGCTGTTCCAGTTGAGATCAGCTAACCTGTCAGACCCAGGAATTGAGTCTATTACCTCTGGTCCTATGCTGCGATCTGCCAGGTGATCACAAGGTTTGCTTTGGATGAGGACTGTCCTTTGGCCCATTTGATCTTAGCCTTCCAGGCACCCACTCAACCTTCTTACCATCACAACATGAAGCTGCTTTTTAAATGAGTCCAGTATCCTGGCCTCAATCATCCTTCCTGTTAACTTGTTCCACTCAGGGAAGCTCATTGATACTGTTGTAAACAAACATCCTTATTTCAATTTGCCATTGCTGCAGCATATTAACCCCCTGAAACACCATTAGGCATACGCTCATTCACTGCCCCAGCTTCCTAGGTTAGACCTGAAAACTATGTCAAAGATTGTTCAGTTTTTGGCTGATCGGCTGTTCTGTGCTAATGAAAAATATTTTTAAAAAATAAAGGAAGAGGAAACGTCCGTCTTCAAAATGAATGGTGGGACCTGGAAGAAAAAGAGGGAAGCAATCTGTTTTAAATTTACAATAACAACAACTTGCATTTATACCACCCCTCACACAGGGTAGCTTGACAGTGGCCGATCACGACACCGAGCCGGGGGAGGATGTCCGTGTAGTCACGGTCGAAGAGGAAGGTCTTCAGACGCGACCTGAAGATGGAGAAGGAAGGGGCAACATATAGGCGTAGAGGAAGAGTGTTCCAGAGTTTTGGGGTGTAGTGGCTGAATGCGCACTGCCGATGGTGGAACGAGGGACATGCAGGAGGGCGGAGCCAGTCAAGCGGAGGCAGCGTGTAGTGGGTTGCAGAGTAAGCAGGTTGGAGAGGTAGGGAGGTACCACGGTATGAAGGGATTTGAAAACAAGTGTAAGAATCTTGAAATTGATCTGTTCAAAGCTAGGAAGCCTGTGGAGCCTGGCTAGATCTGGTGTGAAGGGGTACAGAGTTTACTGCAGATGAGTATGCTGGCAGCGGAGTTTTGGATCAGCTGAATTTTGTGGATGGTGGAGATGTGGAGACCGGCAAAGAGGGCATTTGAATAGTTGAGGTGGGAGGTGACGAATGCATTAACGAGTGTTTTGACTAGGTCTGGAGTAAGGTACGGTCAAAGACAGGCAATGTAGTGGAGTTGGAGAAAGGGAGTCCTGTTCAGGGACCGCTGTACGTCGAACCTGACGCCTAGGTTCGCACCGGTTTGGTGAACCTGTGGGATCGGCCGGGGAGGTTGAAGTGGTCAGAACCGTGAGACAGAAGGCATTGACAGGAGCCAAGGAGTAAGGCTTTTGTCTTGTCCACATTGAGTTGAAAGAAATTTGCGCTCATCCACACCCTGATATCCTCCAAACAACCCAATAGAACATCAGCAGACCTGGAGTCGTAGCTGGAGGAGAAGTAGATTTGTGTGTTATCCGCATACACATGCACGGACGTTTATCTCGTGACTGCAGGTTGAAATCACCAAGAGGGAGCATATAGATGAGGAAGAGGAGGGGGCTGAGGATGGAGCCCTGGTGTATGTCACAGTTAACCGGGTGGTGGTGGGAGGAGAAACAGTTTGAAGAGACAAAGTGAAGACGGTTTGTTAGATAGGACTCGAACCAGGCGGGCCCAGTAAGGTGGATGAAGGTGGCGTGGTACAATGCGGCAGAGACTCCAGGAAAATGAGGAAGGAGAGAGTGAGCATTCCATTCCAACAATCTATCGCTGGAATTTCCATGTATAGGTGGGATGCATGTGTCCAACACCCAGCTGATCAAAAAAAATATATATATAAACTGTATTTGTATTGCTTTCAAAGTTGCAGTGCTTGAGCTGAAAACAGAGAATTACCCAAACAGGAGGCCAACTATAGGTCAAAGGCAATTTCTATATTGAAACAAGGCAAGTTGTCTGAGGATTTTTACATTTGCGATCAACTAATAACTTTAGGACTATTTCATTTATTTTGAACAGGAGATCTTTTGGCTTGCCTCATTCTCCATCACATCTTTGGAAACCGCCGAGTAGATGTTCCAGTATAAGTAGTTTGATTAGCAACTATTCACAGGTAAGTAGCAGTAAACTGGCATGTATATTTTGTCGAATATATTGGTTATTAAACCCCTTTCCACTCTTTTCCTCTCACATACTAATCTAAGCTCTTTCTCTCTTCTGTTCTGCTTCCTTCTCAGATGTTCTTTTTCGACTGAATTTTTCTCTTGTTCTTCTTGGTTTAGCTTTGTTTCTTGCTTATCTCTTCTCTACTCCAGGCTCTTCTGCTTCTTTTGTTTTTCCCAAATTGCAAAAGACTTCAAAGTACATATCATACTGTTCAGTTAGAGAACAATATATACTTTCTTCAAATAGAACGCTGTTCCCAGTGCGTCATCCCAGTGTTTGTATTGTAATGTTTTGGGACAATGCATCCAAACAAACCTCAGTATGTACCGTATCTTAAGAGCTAAAGTACAGAACGCCAAATTTCATCCCAAACGAGAAGAGTTTTTATTAATCTGAAGGCTTGTTAACGTTGTATTCTCATGACTATAATGTCCAGTGATTTTGTGAAAGCGTGGTAGTTTTGTTTCTTCATGTTACACATCCACTCCACAGTGATCAGATTCCAAGCACAAATACATTCAGAGATAACAAGGAGAATGCCTTGGTATAGGGATATTTTTTTTCCCCCATGTAGAACAATATCCAGGTCTCTCCAAACTGAAGCTCTTTTAATAACTTTTGGATTCTTTCCTCCACAACATTAGAAAATCCTTAGGATTAGTAAAGGGTACCTCTGTATGCAATCTGCATTTTGTTTAGCATCAGCAGAATTCAAGATTTGTTGTCCTTTGCAATTCCAGGTTGTGCCTCTAAAATAAATGCCACATATCCAACGGCAACTACCTGACTTAGGCTCCAATGCAGAAGTCTAAATTTGATTGATATCAAGAAGTTTTAACATCTAACATGTTGTTTGCATCTGTATAGGCCCCGGAAGGTCTTTCGAGTCCTGAAATAAACAATGTACTATTAACTGAGCAGCTGGAAACCTTAGACGAGTTGCGCATTGAGCTTGATCAATCTGAGGTAAAGCAAAAGGAAATGCATGAGCAGATCCAGCAGCTTGAGGTGGAGAAGGAAGAGCTGCAGAAGACAACGTGTTTGCATGAGCAAAGAGAGGAAGCTGTCAAGAAATCAATTGCTGAGACTATGGAGGAAAACAGCCGGCTGGAGAAATTGGTAGAAGAGCTGAGAAAGGAAGGTGAAGCCTCAGTTTCTACTCAGAACATTATTTTGCAGTTTCAGACACGTTTGCAGACATTAGAATCCAGTTATGATGAAAAACAGAAAGAACTTCAGACGAGGCTTATTGAGTTGGAAACGCAAAATAAAGAGTATGAAGTCAAACTAAAAGGTTCAAAACAAGAAATGGAACGGATCAAGGCCTCTGAAAAGTCAAAAAGTAATAGCCTTAGTGAACTTCAAATCAAGTTATTCACAGTGGAACAGAAGAACCTAGAACTGATAGCAAGGATAGACAATATTTTGACTGAGAAAGGACAACAGACTGCTATTCACTATGACTCGGCTCAGAAGATCCATGAGCTGCTTGATAGGTTGAACGAGGGTGAGAAGGAGAGAATTGGATTGCAGAGACTGAATAGTGATCACCAGTGTCAGCTGGAGAAGTTAACAAATGATTTGAAATCAAAAGAAGCTATAATAAATGAACTAGAGTTGAAGTTAAAAGAGACTACTTCAATATTTGAGGAGGAAAGTATAAAGCTTGTGGAAAGAAATGAAGAATTGGAATATTCATTGAATAAATTTAAGGAAACCACTGGATCAGAAAGAGAAACTGCTGACCTGCAGACAACTGAGCAGGAAGATTCTAACTTCAAATATGAAAAATTAAAAGCTACTTTTGAGGAACAAATAACTACTCTTTCTGATCAACTTAAGACAAAAGAAATGGAGCTGTCTAGTGTATGTAACAAGGCACAAAACCTTGAAGAGGTTAGAATTACTCTTTTCCATAATAAAGAAGATCTTAGGAAAAAGACGCACGATTTGGACGGACAGTTACTCAAACTGGAAGCCAAATTAGACGAGGCTGACTTTGAACATCAGAAATTGCAATATGAGCATGAAAAGCTTCAGCAAGCAGTGCAGAAACATCTGGAAAAAAATAAAGAGCTGGAGGTGACTTGTTTATCACTTGAAGCTGAAGTAGACAAACTGAGCGCCTCTGAGAAACAGCTACAGAGCCAGATAGATGATGCTTCATTGCCAGTGGATGAAAGAGAAAAGAAACTGAGGGAAGAAAACAAGCAGTTAAATGAGAACTTGCAAAATTCTATAAGACAGATTCAGATGACAGAGGAAAAACTGAAGAATATTCAGTCTGAATACGATAATCTGAAAAAGCAAGGTAATGATTTGAACAACAGTTTTCTAAATCTTCAGGAAGATAATCGGGTCAAGAAACAAATGGTTTCAGAGCTAGAGAATAAATTATCAACATCAAAACAGAGTGAAGAGTCTCTCGCTTCGCTCCAGTTGGAGATGGAGGATGCCTTGCTTGAAAAAGTCAACCTTCTAAAGCAACTCTCAGAAAGCTTTGAGAAGAGTCAGGCAAAAATAGAGATTCTAGAAAAAGATAAGCTGGCCCTTGAAAACTGCTTGCAACAACAAACTCAACTTTCAGAAGGCGTAATAGCTGAAAGAGACTCACTGGTGAAAACACAGTTAAATGTACAGGAGCTGACTGAGAACTTGACTATTACTGAAAATCAGCTTGAAGCCTGTCAGAGTGAAGTAACCCAATTACAGACTGAGATCTGTGAACTCAGGTCAAAACTCAAACAAACAGTTGAGGAAAAGGAAAATGTACAAAGTAATCTAGATCTTGCTGTTTGCTCCAAGGAGGAATATCGAAATTTAGTTCAACATCTAAAAGAACAGATCGAATCACTGAATAGGGATCATATGGAAGAACTCTTGCAGTTGAAAGAGAAAGAAGATTACCTGAAGAAAGAACGAGATAGTGAAGCTCAGCAAATAACCGAACTTAAGGGAAAACTTGTATTCATTACGGAAGAGCTATTACGAGCAAAAAAACAGGCAGAAAAAGTACAGCATGAGCACGGGGAAACAAAAGAGCTACTTTGCAGGACAAATACTGAAATGGCAGAGCTGGGCATACAGATTTGCACTTTGAACTCAGAAAAGCATGCTGCTGAACAAAAATGTGTTGACATTTCTCAACAAATAGCAAGGTTACGTGAAGAGGTGAATGTCGAACAAAACCAACTGAATTGTAATATCGCTACAATTGAGAAAGAAAGGATGGAGGAAGAGTTGAAGAAATCCGAGGAGATAACGGCAGTTGTAAAAGACCTGCAGAGTAAACTAGACAAAGCAGAACAACAAGTAAAAAGCTTCCAGGGAACTGCAAAGGAAGAGATTTCTGCAATCAAATTTCAGATGAGTGGACAGGTGATGGACTATCAAAATAAATTAAAGGTAATACATTTGATTGGGAAATATAGTACAGATGAGTTTCATTTGAACTTTAATTTTTAAATGCCGGTTGTGGCTTTCACTCAGTAATTTTAGCAGATGAGTTAAAAAAATTTAACATGGTACAAATTTAAACACGAGTAAACAATACAATTTACATTTATATAGGGCCTCTGTCTCGAGCATGGCTTCCGTCTCGCCGACATTTGCTATAAACTGCTTAAATGGATATCTTTGTTGGATTGTAACTATGTTAACTACATATCAATACTTGCATACACCCCAAAAAACAGAAACGGAACTGAGACCAATAAAAAAATTTTCCTACATTTTGCATGAAACTTCTTCCCTACAAAACAAGTTTCAATCTTACTAGAATATTGACAAGTATATTATGAACTATTTAGTTACGTTTGTTTTTCTGAGTATAAGGCTTCTTCCTTTTTCCAGCTAGTTTGGTTGTGACTCAATTTTTGTGCCACATACCAACCATTATTGAAAGGTTAGATCTGGGTCCAGGTCTCTACCCGATTCAGCATTCAACCACTTCTTTGTAGATGTGAAATTATCATTTTGGGGGTAATTGCCTATTTATCAATAGTTTGATGATGTAAAGGTGTAATGTGCTTCTGGTCAGCGTCCGTCCACAGTAGGCCCTCACTGTAAGCAAACCCAATATATGGGAGAGGTGGGTCTTAGAACTGGATTGCCCTGTATATTGAACATAATACATTTATTTTCTGAGCTCACTACTTTGAACAGAAAGTAGTGGCCTAGAGAATATTTCCCCATTACATTTTATAAAACATCATTCTATCTATGTATAATACACTGTATACGCTATGAGTCTGACATATGTTGACAATGTTGATGATTTGGTTTTACTAGGAAATTTGTGAAGAATTGGAAGTTGTGAAAGGGCAGCTTAATAAACGACAAAACCAAATAAGCTCAATGGATGAACAAGTTCAGAAATTACAAGTAAGTATAAAGTGAAAAATTATTCACACCGTTGAGAATGGAAGAAAAGAACTGTACAGGATTTATATTTGGATAATTTGCATTTGAATTTTGTTTACGCTTCATATTAGTAATTCATTTTTTGCACTTTTATTTGCAAGGACCTCAATGGTAAATTGTCAAAGCAGTTGGAGGAAAAAACACAGCTGTTCATGGATTCAGAGACACAGAGAAATCAAAAGGAGAAAGAACTGATATCCCTGACAGAAAACTTCACCAGGTATCAATGTTTATGATCATTAATAATAATTATTGCATCTGATATTGCGCCTTTCAGGTTCAGAGGGCGTCTCAGAGTGTTTCACAGGATGCAAAATATAGTGACTGTGTACTTTTAGAGATGAAACTCAGTGATTTGTGCACAAAAAATCTCCCACAAACAGCAATGAAGTGAATGACCAACTTTATCTGGGGGATTGGTAGCCAGGATACCATGGGATCTTTAATGTCCATCTGAACAGATAGATGGGACCTTGGTTTGACGTCCATCCAAAGAGTAAAAGTTTAGTAGTGAGACTTGGATTTACAATCTTGGTTAAGTTGTTCTTGTTTCAAGTTCTGTACTCCACAGAGAGATGGGTGGACAATTCTTAATTGCATTCACACAAAGAAATTCAACACTGACACTCCATTGGAGTTCTGTGCGCACATGGTTAGTTGTGCATAACTTAACACTACTAGGAATGAGAAATGTAAATATAAAACAAGCTTCTCAATCCTAATTATTTTACTGCTAAAAATAACATTGCTTCTCCACCTACAGTAAAACAGGCATTATTATTATTAATCCTTGCATTTGATATAGTGCTCTTCACGTCGGGAGGACGTCCCAAAGCGCTTCACAGAACACACTGTAAAGTGAATTGACTGTATATTTGTGGGCAAACGCAGCAGCCAATTGCGCACAGCAATGTCCCACAAACAGTCGTAGATTGAAAATGACCAATTTATTATTGTTTTGGGTTTTGGAGGGATTATTATTAGGTGTGTGGAGTAAGGAAACTTGCCCAAGGTTTCGCCCTCTGCCTGGAATTGAACTCAGGTCTCTCACTTGCAAAGCGAGTGCTCTAACCACTGAGCTACAGGACTCATGCCTGATATCCAAGTAGGAATCTTTCGTGTTTAGATGTAGGAACCTACATATAATATAGATTGATACTAACTTAATAACTACACAAGATATACTTTTGTGGGACATCCAAAGTTTCCCTTATTAGAGGGTATACAAGTGTAAATTCCTTCAAATTGCTTCAGTCCCATTTGTAACATGTGATAATTGCACCTGGCGAAAGTTATTGCTGATATTTATACAGGAGAATTTATGATCTTTTTGTGCTCTGCAGTGTTTTGAGATGTTTGAGATGTTATTCTATGTGAGAGTCTCAATACAATCCAGGCTCTCCACGACCTTGCTCCTTCCTATCTCTGTGACCTGCTAACCCCATATCAACCTATCCGCTCCCTCCACGTCCCCTGCCCGGCCCACCCCACCACTGGCTCTCTCCTCCCCCTCTTTGGAATTCCATCCCACAGTCCCTTCACCTCGCTCCCTCCCTTGCCTCCTTCAAGGCAGGTCTCAAAACTCCTCTTCGACAGCGCCTTGGCCACCCTCCTACCTTGCCTGCCCTCCGTCCCTGATCCTCGCTCCCCCTGTTCGTGTTCCAAATCCCTGACTGTCCAGGGGCTTGGGAAGGCCTCCCGACGTGAAAAGCGCAATGCAATTATTTTGTATTGTGCAAGTTGTTGTTGCTTAATACTAAGCAGCCACTAGGTTGCAGTGTATCCCTCCCAAAGAGTTGTACAATATATAATAATAATCCTTGCAGTTGGTACAAAACCTTTCATTTCGGCAGGATATCCGAAATGCACTTTACAGGATGTACTATGTGTTTTATTGGTGGACTCCCACAATGTGGATGTGGTATCTCTGAACTGATACCTTTGTAGCTTCACAATCATTGCCATCGTGAAAAATCTGAGGCGACAGTTTTTAAATTTAAATTACAGCCTCTTGAGAGCTGTTAAACTTGCTTCATTTGTTTAACATACGTGTTCAGTCCTGTTATGGCCTGCCAAGTAGGGGCAAATTCGACGCTCGGCCCACATTTAATTTTTTACCATTACCATCGATGGCTGAGCTTCAACCACTATGTCCTTAACCTCTGGAACTCCTTGTCTCAATCCCTCTGCTGTGTCCTTTCTTTATCTGTTGTTAAATCCCTCCTTAAAACCTACCTCTTTGACAGTGCATAGAGCCCCTTCTCCCTTGCTTGGTGTGCAGCCCCGCCACTCTGAAGCACTGCAAGGATGCTATAAAAATTTTAATTGATGTCCAAGACAAGAACACTCATAGCGACAGGTTTCACAGAAAGCTGATTAATTTTCAATCTTCCTATTCTGCTCATCTCCCACCCGACTCAGCCTCCCACTTCATCTCTACAAAGCATTTTGTTTGCAGGTAAAGTCCTGAAATCTTTATCACTAGATCTCTGGAGGAGTTTGAAACTGTGAAGGAAGAACTGAGAGAGTATAAAAAGAACCTTCAGATGACACAGGAAGAGAGAGAGAGAACGGAACAAAAACTGTTGGCCGAAGTGGATGACCTGGACAGAACTAAACAGTTCCTGGAGGAGCGTCTAATTGAATTGATTAAGTATGTCACAATACTGGAGTTGTGTTGTTGGATGTCATTGCAAAGGCCTCCTGAGGATTGTGTTTGGGGACACAAGTGATCTCGTGCCATTTTCTGATGTCAATAAAGTAATGGGGTTGGTCAAATATAGAAGAAAAAAAAATCATGTCTGAAACTGTGCACTTGGAGGAGAATTTTGCATTCAATTGAATATTTCTTATTTAATCTGTGATGCTGCACTTTAACGACAGACATCTGGTTCAGTGAAAAACAAAATAATATATATATATACAGGATATACATATATATATACAGGATTCATTCTTAAATGTATATCGTCTCTAAGTTGCATTTATCATATTTGATGCCTCAATATAATACGCTATCCATGTTAGCAAGTATATTTCAGACTAAAATGCCATGTTTTTTCTTTCAGGGATAAGGATGCCTTATGGCAAAAATCTGATGCATTGGAGTTTGAGCAAAAGTTACGTACAGAGGCTCGATGGCTTGGCGACCGAGAGGTGAATCATTGTCTGGATTGTCAAAGTCAGTTTACATGGTGGTTACGGCGGCATCATTGCAGGTGAGTCTAATTGTAAAACAGCACATACAACATTTCAGTGGAAAATAGTATGTGCACAATCCCCTCAAGTGAAATACAAATGGAATTCAATGCGTTCCTACAGGACAACCCCATTACATAACGTAGTCATCTTGGTCCAGTGTCTCAGGCCTGCATTAGAGGTGAGCATAAAAATTGTCTGAGGTTGTGGTTTGTCAGATCGCCACTGAAATCTTTCTGTGTGCTGCGTGCTATCCAAAAGATTTGCCGTTGGTGTCACTTTGTGGTGGAAATGACATTGGTGTCAGGATACTACCTCGCATGAAGGGCGCCATATAATTTCAAATTGTTGTTGTTTGATGCAGATCTGTGTCTTGACAAAAGTATTTGAGCACAGTTCATCATTTCATGGCAAAATATTTCTGGTATAACAAATCTCGAACAATAAATGTTGCTTATTCCCTGAGCATTTCACACTCCATTCTCTGACCAACTGCTGATCGTCTCGCTATATATAATTCCGGTCGAGATCACAGCTGCTTTTTAGTCATGATACAAGTCTGAAACTCACACAAAGTAAAGACTTGTACATTTTCTAGCCCCATCTTTTAAACTATTCCAAATCTCACAGACCTACAGTGGCATTACATTCTAAATCACTATCACCCCCACCTTGAAAAAACCTTCCCTCGACCCATCATAGCTATCTAGCTACCGGCCCATCTCAAATCTATCCAAGCTCCTTGAGAGTGCTGTTGCCTCCCAGCTTCGCTCTTTCCTCTTACTCCCTTCATGAACCCCTCCAATGTTGCTCTGGTCAAGGTCACAAACGACATCCTGACCAGGTGTGACCAGGGCTCCCTCTGCCTCCTCGTCCTCCTCAACCTCTCCGCCGCCTTTGACACTGTGGACCACTCAATCCTCCTCTACCGCCTCTCCTCCCACCTCAACCTTCAAGGTTCTGTCCTTGACTGGTTCACGTCCTACCTTTCACACCGCCTCCACTTTGTCGAGGCAAATGGTTTCTCCTCCAGCCCCCGCACTGTTTCATGCGGTGTTCCTCAGGGCTCTGTTCTCGGTCCCCTCCTCTCCCCTTTGGTGATGTCATCCGCAGACATGGGGTAAATTTCCACATGTATGCGGATGACACCCAACTCTACCTCTCTACCTCCACCCTGAACTCCAGGATTACTGAGGTCCTGACCGACTGCCTGTCCGACATCAAGTCCTGGACGAGGGCCAACATTCTCCAACTCAACATCAGCAAGACCGAGGCTCTTCTGATTGGCTCGCGCCAGCACCTCAGGTGCTGGCACCATCAGCCTCCACAGCTGCGCACTCGACCTCACTAAGCCAGTCAGGAACCTGGGTGTCTTGTTTGACCCTGAACTGTCCTATCTCCCCCACATCCGCGCCATGATCGGCACTGCCTACCACCACCTCCGCAACATTGCCAGACTCCGCCACTGCCTCACCGCTCAGGCTGCCAAAACCCTCACCCACGCATTCGTCACCTCAAGACTTGATTACGGGAACTCCCTCCTCATCGGCCTTTCCAACTCTTCCCTTCACAAGCTGCAAATCATTCAAAACTCTGCAGCTTGTGTACTCTCAAGCACCAGACTCCGTGACCCCATCACTCCCACCCTCGCCCAACTCCACTGGCTCCCCATCCCTCAGAGGATTGAATTCAAGATCCTCGTCCTCACCTTTAAGGCCATCCATGGCCTTGCCCCCTCCTACCTCTCTGACCTGCTGACTCCCTACCAACCTGCCCGATCCCTCCGTTCATCAGGCTCTGGCCTGCGCCATGTCTCCCGCTCGACCCGCCCTATCAATGTAATTTTGTTGTTGTTGTAAAGTCAAATTTACATTAATTTTCAAAGCCAGAGAATTGCACTATGTGCACCATTCTGTTCAGATAAATCCATATGTGACCCTCCTCTCCCCTTTCCAATCCTTGGACAATTTCTAAACCTCACGTGGGTCTCTCTCTGTCCCTGATACATTTTTGTGATTGGGAGCAAACTACCCTCCAACAGAACTTTCCAGCAGCTTCAACTCTGCAATTTCTGCACTTTTGAAGAGCGTAGCTTTAGCACCAAGTGAATACTGCACGAAGACCCAAGTGGCTTCCTTGGAGAAGATTGAGAGAACAGAGTTTGCGGAATCCTGAGAGGCAGAAGACTGAGAGGGAGTGAGTGAGAGATAGGAAGAGGGAGTGGAGGTCACATAGGGAATATCACCTGAACTTAAAGATGTGTATGGTCCAGTTTTCTTGATAGAACAGCATCCCTAAGTCATTCTTTAACTCCTCTCCCCATGGGATGATATTTTGTTGGATAACTCAGCTGCACATAATTCTATTGAAAGTTCAGCTTCTTGCTTGGTAGAAATTAATGGAGAGATTATTTGTCATCTCAAACTGAATGTTTTGCTACATTTCAGACTTTGTGGGCGTATCTTCTGCTACTACTGCAGCAATAATTTTGTGATGACAAAACACAGTGGTAAAAGAGAACGCTGCTGCAAAGCCTGTTGGTCAGAGCATAATGCTGTTGTTCAACGATTCAGTGACGCAGGATCTTCTAGTACTTCCGACAGCCCCGATGAATCTCCATCACTCTCAACTTCAGAAAGACTTGCAAGCAGCAACACCGGTACTGATCCAGTATTCTGCAGTGTTATCGTTGTTATATTTTATTTCACAGTCACTGTTGGATTAGTAATAATAAATAATAATCCTGCATTTGATATAATGCCATCAGATGGTCAAGACATCTTAAAGCGCACAGCTGCTAGAAAGCATTATGGAGTCTGAGTTCATGAACATTTGTTCTTGCATCTAATGGCTTGGAAAACTACTTGGAACAGTGCTCCAAGGCATATCGGCAGGTCTTGGAAGGGCAAACCAGTCCCTGGGGGCAGGGACTCTTCTCATTCAGCTCCCATTAACCCTGCAAGCCAAAGCCCTAACCGTCCTAGCTGGACAATCAGCAGGAAAGCTTGCCAATCTCAGTGCTCTCAATGGCAATCTATGCAGTTTTAGCTGGTTAGACAACAGTAGTACCCCAACACATACTCTGGGGTCCCCAAGCTTTGTCTCTTGCCAACCTGTGCCTACTTTCTGGAATTAGGTAAGCAGAATGCGTCCCTTCTAGTGGTTGCAAGCCCGGGAATCCTGATCCCAGGATTCCATATGGTAATGCTGCTCCCAAAATCCCTGGATTCATTGAAAAGAATCGAGGGATTTAGGGGATTGTGTAGAGGGTGAGCCCTGATGGAAGGGGAGGGCAGGATGCTGCTGGAAGGGCAAGCCGGCGGAAGCAGATGAGCAGGTCTGCAAACGTCCCGGGTGCTCTCTCTCTCTCTCTCTCTCGGACGTACACTGCGTGCGAGGTGCTGCTGTGGAAAATGATCACAGGCGTTCTAGACAAGGTAAGATTCAGGATTTGGGGCATTAAAATCAAAAGAGCACCAGGATTGCAACCGCTAGTCCCTGCAGGGAGAGAGTGTGCATTCAATTCCAATAAAATCTCTGGAATTTTCATTTATAGATGGGATGGATAGAACTCTGTTTGGTTTGGATACTCTTAAGCGTGGTAAAACAAGGATCTTGAATATACATGTATATTAAATACACGAGTGTGCAGGTGAATACACTCTGCTGTCACAGACTGATATGCAGTTAAAAACTAGCTATCTACGTTTGAGATGTCTGTGGCTGCAACATTACAATACAATACAAAATTACTAGCGTATGGCACCCTTCAGGTTGGGAGGACATCCCAAGCCATTGGACAGGCAGGGATTTGGACCCGAGCTGGGGGTTGGGAGCGTGGAGTGCAGGGAGGGTAGGAGGGTGGCCGAAGGCTCGGTCGAACAGGAGGATTTTGAGACTTGCCTTGAAGGAGGCGAGGGAGGGAGCAAGCTGAAAGGAATGCTGTATAGCATTCCATAGAGTGGGGCCAGAAAGGCTGAAAGCACAACTACCGATTGTGGGGCTATCCGGGTGAGGGACGTGGAACAGCCCAGTCAGCCCATCAGTCAACATTTAGGCTGTCAGCCACATAGTTATATCACTAGCACTTCAGTGTGCTGCACGTTAGCAACTACGTGTCCATTCAGAAATGTTCATGGTTGTGTCCGTTTCACATTTTTTTCCTACTTTTATTTGACTCCGTTCTGCTACGTGTTTTTACGATGCCATGAACCACTCTTATCCTCCTCCACCGCCTGCTCCATGTCTCCCGCGTGACCAGCTCTACCATCGGCGGCCAGGCTTTCAGACTCTGCCCCCACCCTTTGGAACTCCATCACACAATCCCTTTGCCTTGTTCCCTCACTTGCATCCTTCAAGGCACGACTCAAGACCCTCCTTTTCGACCGTGCCTTCAGCCACCCTCCTAACCCCTCTGCGGTCCCTCATCCCAACCCTGCCACGCTCGGGTCCTGATCCCTGAACGATTCAGCGCCTTGGAACATCCGCCCGATGTAAAAGGCACTTTAAAAATGTAATTTTGCTATTGTTACATATAACCTTTTTGTTATCTTTTGCGATAACTTGTCACCTGAAGGGAAATAACTCAAATGATAACTTATCAGAGGTGATGAGTTTTCCAGAGTATCATAGCTATTAGCCACATTGTATTTGGTCCCCTTGGGAGTAATGTTTTATTTAATAATTAGCATGGCCACTGATACATAAACGTTTTGTCATACCATGTGCATACATACTGAATGAGGCACTGATTTGAATACCCAATAAAACAGCATAATCTATGTAACTTAATAATAATAATAATCCTTGCATTTGATATAGTGCTTTTCAAGTCTTCTAGACGTCTCAAAGTGCTTCACAGAATATGCTGTAAAATGAATTGACTGTATATTTGTGGGCGAAACGCGCAATTACGCACAGCAATGTCCCACAAACAGTCGTGGATTGAAAATGACCAATTTATTATTGTTTAGGAGGGATTATTATTAGGCGTGTGGAGTAAGGAAATTTGCCCAAGATTTCGCCCTGTCTGGAATTGAACCCAGGTGTCTCGCTTGCAAGGCGAGTGCTCTAACCACTGAGCTACAGGGCTCCACAATCTAAAAATAGATATTGTTATTCAAGCTGATTACACAATCCTTAGCAAAAATGACGACGGTCACAAAATAGTTTTATTTTTGTTTGCCATCCAATCATTAAGTGTAGTCCTGGGCACCTTATACTTTGTTGCAACTGCGGATTTGCTTTGCCCACTGATGAGTTATCAGAGATATTTTACGTGGAAGCAGTGTCTTAAAAGTGTGAAAGTCTGAGTTATGAGATATCCAGGGTGATTAGTTATCAGAGGAACATAGTTCCTCTGGTAACTAATTATATATGTGAGTTATATGGGGTTAACGACTTATCCCAAGGTCGAGTTATCAAAAGTTTCACTATACATTTTAGGAAATAAAAATGTATACAACAATAACTTGCATTAATATAGCAGCATTCACGCGGGGGTAGGGTCTCGGAGCTCTCTGAGCACTCCACTCAGAATAGATAAAAAGTAGGGAAATTAGATTAAAGTAGATAGTTTCAGTGGAGAGAAAGTAATGCCCTGGAAAATAAGAACCTAAATGGGTTAGAGGAGCAAAGGGATCTTGGGGTACATATACACCATTCACTAAAAGTAGCAACACGGGTTAATAAGGCCATAAAAAAGGCAAACCAAGCATTGTGGTTCATTTCTAGAGGGATAGAAATGAAAAGCAGGGAAGTTATGGTAAACCTCTATAGACCCTTGGTTAGATCACACTTAGAATACTGTGTGCATTTCTGGGCCCCACGTTATAGAAGAGATGTAGAGGCACTGGAGAGGGTGCAAAGGAGATTCACAAGGATGATCCTGAACTGAGAGGTTATACCTATCAGGAAAGGCTGAACATAGTTGGACTCTTTTTTTCTTGAAATGAGGAGGGTAAGGGGTGATCTGATAGAGGTCTTTAAAATTATGAAAGGTTTTGATAGGGTAGACATAGAGAAAATGTTTCCACTTGTGGGAGAGACCAAAAACAGTGGCCATCAATATAAAATAGTCACAAATAGATCAAATAGGGAAGTTAGAAGAAATTTCTTCACACAGAGAGTGGTGGGAATGTGGAACTTGCTACCACAAGGAGTTGTAGAGGCAAATAGCATAGATGTATTTAAGGGGAAGCGAGATAGGTACATGAGGGTGAAAGGAATAGAAGGTTATGCTTGAAGGCTCAGTTGAGAAAGGGCAGGAGGAGGCTCATGTGGAACATAAACACCGGCATAGACCAGTTGGGCCGAATGGCGTGTTTCTGTGCTGTATATTCTAATGTATTCTAATGTATGCAATGGTGCAGTTGTGATGGTTTTAACAGTATCCTTCTCTGGTGAGATGTTTGTGATTCCAAGCCATTAAAGAATAGTGTGAAAAGCAAGAGACACAAACTCCACCTTTGAAACTCCACTCATCACTATTAACAGGCAGAGCTTTTCCTCTTGGTCATAAGCTTGTGCTTCAACTTGTGTATTGCTCAGCCAATACACAATTTGTGGAGTCCTGTAGCTCAGTGGTTAGAGCACTCACTTTGCAAGTGAGAGACCTGAGTTCAATTCCAGGCAGAGGGCGAAACCTTGGGCAAGTTTCCTTACTCCACACAGAGCCTAATAATAATCCCTCCAAAAAACCAAAAACAATAATTAAATTGGTCATTTTCAATCTACGACTGTTTGTGGGACATTGCTGTGCGCAATTGGCTGCCGCGTTCGCCCACAAATGTACAGTCAATTCACTTTACAGTGTGTTCTGTGAAGCGCTTTGGGACGTCCTCCCGACGTGAAAACGCTATATCAAATGCAAGGATTATTATTATTATTATTAATTTAGAATGCAAGTTAATTTGACTTTAGAATACAAGTTAATTAGCCTTCAAAACCCTCTACGGCCTTGTTCCTTCCTACCTCTGTGACCTGCTAACGCCATATCAACCTGTCCATTCCATCCACTCAGCAGGCTCCGGCCTGCTCCACGTCTCCCACTTGACTCACCCCACCAGCAGCGGTCGGGCCTTCAGCTGCTGCCCCCACAGTCCATCCCACAGTCCCTTCGCCTCACTCCATCCCTTGCCTCCTTCAAGGCACGTTTCAAAACCCTGCTCTTCGACCGTGCCTTCGGCCATCCTCCTAACCCTACCATCCCTGTCCTCCACCCCTCCTGATCCCAACCCCCTGCTCGGGTCCAAATCCCTGACTGTCCAGCGCCTTGGGATGTCCTCCCAACGTGAAAATTACTGTACAAATCTAATTTGTTGTTGTTGATGCCCAATTCTTAAAAGTTTCTTAAAGGTTTCACCTAGAGACCGCTGTCAAATGCCTTTTGAGAATTTAGCCACCATCACATTAGTTTAGTCTATTAAAATAAAATCCATTACATTCATGTGGTTGCTGCATTCGCCACAAAATTTGCGTCCTTTCGTTGACGTGGTAAGGCGCTCTTTCAATCTGTTTACTTAAACCACAACTGTGTGACACTGCTGTGTGCAATTGGCTGCCTCATTTCACCGACAAATACGCAGTACATTAATTTCAAGGTATATTCTGTGAAGTACTTTGAGATGTTTTTGAAGGAGGCAAAAGAGGGAGCAAGGTGAAGGGATTGTGTGATAGAGTTCCAAAGAATGGGGAGAGAGAGGCCGAAAGCCGGGTCATCGATGGTAGGGCGGGTTGGGCGCGAGACCTGGAGCCTGCTGAGCGGAGGGAGCGGACAGTTTGATAGGGGGTCAGCAGGTCAAAGATGTAGTGGGGGCAAGCCTTGGAGGCCCTTGAACGTGAGGACGACGATTTTGAATTCTATCCTCTGAGGGATGGGAAGTCAGGGGAGGGTGGGGTGATGGGGTCATGGAACCTGGTGCAGGAGTGGACACGAGCTGCTGAGTACTGGATGATCTGCAACTTGTGGAGGGAAATGTTGGGGAGGCCGACATTTCTGTAGTCGAGCCTTGAGGTGACGAATGCGTGTGTGAGGGTTTCGGCAGCTTAAGGGGTGAGGCAGTGACTGAGTCAGGCAATGGCACGGATATGGGGGAGAAAGGACAGTTGAGGATCGAACAAAAACACCCAGGTTCCTAAGTGGCTAGGTTAGATGGAGTGTGCAACCGTGGATACTGATACTGAGGTGCGGAGGCACCGGCACAAGCCAACCAAGAGAGCCTCAGTCTTGCTGACATTCAACTATAGAAAGTTGGTTCTCATCCAGGACTTGATGTCAGACAGGCAAGGCAGTCTGTCAGGGCAGCAGTTGTCCTGGAGTTGAGGGTGGAGGGAGAAAGATAGAGTTGGGTGTCATCTGCATACTTTTAGAGGTTGACCCCATGACTGCGGATGATGTCACCAAGGGGGAGCATGTAGAGTTGAAGAGGAGGGGACCGAGGATGGAGCCCTGAGGAATGCCTCACAAGACTGTGCGGAAGCTGGAAGAGAAACCATTGGCAGAAACAAATTGGAGATGGTGTGAGAGATGAGACCTGAACTATTCAAGAACAGCACTTTGAAGGCTGAGGCAGCAGAGAGGTCGAAGAGGATGAGGAGGCAGAGTGAGCCCTGGTCACAGATGGACAAAATGTCATTTGTCACCTTGACCAGAGCAGACTATGAGCAGCGACTGGAGGAACTGGGAATTTTTCAATTGGAACAAAAAAGTTTGATAGTAATCTTTAAAATTATGAGGGGGTTTGATGGAGTCAGTAGGCAGAAATTATTTCCACTGGTTGGTGAGTTAGTAATTTTAAGATGGTTAGCAAATGAGCAAATGGGGGTTTACACTGTTTAGTTAGGATATGAATGCCCTGCTGTCCAGTGCCTTGGGACGTCCTCACGACGTGAAAGGCGCTCTATAAATGGAATCTTGCTGTTGTTGTTGTTGGGAGTGGTGTTAACTACAGGGGTATGGGGAAAGGGTCGGTAAATGGGACTGAAAGGATTGATCTTAAAAGAGCCAGCACAGACACGATGAGACAAATTTCCTTCCTCTGTCCAGTAAATGGTTCTATGATATATGATTTGCTCCATGTAAGAGCATTGATAATCATCCTATTCTCAACTAGTTCTTCACCACAAATGTAAGCATAATGAGTGATACCGGTTTCATTCTGTGCTTTATGTTCTTACTCTCATGGTACATTCTGTTTGCTCTATATATAGAAGTATAAGCAATGCCAATTTTTGCCATTTATAGAAACTTTTACAAAGCCGGATGATGCAACGTTTGACATCATCACAGATGAAGAGCTCAATGAAATTGAAGAAAATGACTGTTGTCCACCTATAAGAAGCCAATCAGAGTCATCTTTTGAGAATACTCCATCTCTGTGAGTAAATGCTCTTGGAACGTACCTTGTCTCAAATGAAACGATGATTAACATATTGTGGCGTAATGATATATGTACAATATAAATGAAAACTTCCTCTGAAGAGCAGTTAAATTAGAACTGTCTTAGTTTTTCCCTCATTGTGAGTTTTAGCTTTTGATCACTATAATTTTCAAATGAATGGAATACATCCAGTCTGTACAGTTCATACAGTTTCCAGTCTGAGTATTTATTTAAACATTTAAATCAGTTATTTTTCATATTGCCCTTCAGCAGCAGCCATTTTTCTGCAACAAATTAGCCAGTTACTAATCTCTCTGTGTTACCCTTGATACTCAATGACATCAGTTTCTAAAGGAGCCTTGTGTGATTTTGGTGAAGGCCTTTTGAATGTCTAGGTACACAACGTCATATGCATTTGAAATCGGCATGTCAACAACAACAACAACAACAAGATTCCATTTATAAAGCGCCTTTCACGTCAGGAGGACGTCCCAAGGCGCTGCACAGTTGGGTCATGACCCGAGCAGGGGGGAAATGGTCAGGGTGAGGGGAGGGAAGGGAGGGAGCGAGGAGGGGGAAATGGTCAGGGTGAGGGGAGGGAAGGGAGGGAGCGAGGAGGGGGGAAATGGTCAGGGTGAGGGGAGGGAAGGAAGGGAGCGAGGAGGGGAAGAGAGTCGAGAGGGGAGCTGAAGGCTCGGTCAAAGAGAAAGGTTTTGAGACCGGCCTTGAAGGAGGAGAGGGAGGAAGCGGCGAAGGCACTGGGGGATAGAGTTCCAGAGCCTGGGGGCTGAGAGGCTGAAGGCCCGACCACCGATGGTAGGGCGGTTGGGGCGGGGGACGTGGAGCAGACCGGAGCCAGAGGAACGGAGGGTACGGGCAGGTAGGTAGGGGGATAGTAGGTTGGAGAGGTAGGAGGGAGCAAGGCCGTGAATGGCCTTGTAGGTGAGGATGAGGATCTTGAAATCAATCCTCTGGGGGATGGGGAGCCAGTGGAGGCGAGCGAGGGTGGGAGTGATGTGGTCGCGGTGTCTGGTGCGGGACAGTACACGAGCTGCAGAGTTCTGAATGACCTGCAGCTTGTGGAGGGAGGTGGCGGGAAGGCCGGCGAGGAGAGAGTTCCCATAGTCCAGCCTTGAGGTGACAAAGGCGTGGACCAGGGTTTCAGCAGCGTGAGGGGTGAGGTAATGCCGTAGTCTGGCGATGTTCCGGAGGTGATGGAAGGCGGTGCCAGTTGTGGTGCGGATGTGAGGGAGAAAGGACAGCTCAGGGTCGAACAAAACGCCGAGGTTCCTGACTGGCTTTGAGAGGTGGAGAGTGCAGCCTTGGATGCTGATGGTGTCAGCGCCTGAGGTGCGGAGGCGCTGACGTGAGCCAATCAGGAGGGCCTCGGTTTTTCGCAGGTTGAGCTGAAGAAAGTTTTCTCTCGTCCAGGACTCGATGTCGGACAGGCAGGGTGTCAGGACATCGGTGGTCGTGGAGTTGAGAGTAGAGGAGGAAAGGTAGAGTTGGGTGTCATCCGCATACATGTGGAAGTTAACCCCATGTCTGCGGATGATGTCACCAAGGGGGAGCATATAGAGGGTGAAGAGGAGGGGACCGAAGACAGAGCCCTGAGGGACTCCACATGAGACAGTACGGGGGGTGGAGGAGAAGCCATTCGTCGAGACAAAGTGAAGACGGTGAGAAAGGTACGACCTAAACCACTCAAGGACAGTGCCTCGAAGGTTGAGGTGGGAGGACAAGCGGTGGAGTAGGATAGCGTGGTCACCTCCTCAAAACGTTTATGGGGTTGTTAGATGAGATCTACTGCCTTGTGTCTCCAAGCAGTGCATAGTTCTTTCATCCCATGGGATATATTGGCTTTCAGCCCCTTGAGCTATAAGTTCTTGCCTCACATTCTTTAGTCCTGTTGTTCTCATGAATCATCATTTGCTGTCCCTCATCACAAAGTTAAAGCCTCAGATTGTGATAAGAGTCTGTATGAAAGCTATGATATGCCACAATCATAATTTGTGTAGTGTCAAATGTGCAATGTGCTGTCTTCAGCCTAAATCCTGACCACTATAATAACTCACACACTTCAAAGAGGTTGCTTTTCACACAGACTTTGCAGTGAAACTTTTATTTCCAATTTTCTTTAAATTGGAAGTGGCACATTCTATGATTTTACTGATGTATTGACTATCCTCAATAATTCTCTAAGCTCTACGTGAATACAAAATGCAAAGACAGTAAACACTGGTACACCAGATTCTGTGCTTGAGTTTAACCAGTTGTTCCTTGTAGAATATGTTCAAAGATCCCCAATTTAGATACTCAAATCTATATTCTCAGCTCTAAATGCTTTCAGTAATTTTACAATTTGAAGAAAGCATGAGATGTTAAAAGGTTATTATATGTTAAGACCATAAGACGTAGGAGTAGACTATTCAGCCCCTCGAGCCTGCCCTGGCATTAATGCAAGATTCATCAGTAATGCAAGAGTGATTGCGCTGATGCAAGAACTGATGTTAACCTGGCACTGATCAAAGATTCATTACGCATGAAACCAACAGACCACAAAACCTGCAAGGTCTTGTCACACCATACTTGTATCATTTTGTTTTGATATTTTCAGAACCTGGTGAAAGCTAAGAACCTGAGTTCCAAACATGCCTTTAGTGCAATCCTGTAGCGTATTGGTTAGCACGCTCATCTCTCAAGCGAGAAGACCTGGGATCAATTCCCGGACCTGGCAAAACCTTAGCCAGGTTTCCTTACTCCACACTCCTCTGTTTACCTACCAGTAAGTTAGTCGATTGGCATAATAATCCCTTCAAAAAAAATAATAATTTAGTCATTCAATCCATGAAAATGTTTTTGCTATCACATTACTTTAGTTCCTTAAAATAAAATGCATTGCGTTCATGTAACTGTAGCTTTCGCCCACAAAATTCACATCCTCTCGACGACCATAATAAGACACTTTATCAATTTGTGTTCCTAGCAGTAAATCGGAATCCAGGTGTTAATCAATTGTCAGATCGATTTTCCGTGGAGAAAAATCCCTTCAAAAAAAATAATCAAATCAAATAAAAAATGATTTGGTAACCCAATTCTTGACTGTTTGTACAACAAAAACAAAAGTTGCTGAGAATACTCAGCAGGTCAGGCAGCATCTATGGAGAAAGAAACGTTTCGGACATTTTGTGGACGTTTCGGGTCCACAAACCTTCGTCAGAACTGTTTGTAGGACACTGCTGTGAAGAATTAGCTACAACGTTTTGCCCACATAATACAATAAATCCACTTTACAATAGTCAGTGAAGCACTTTGAGACATCTCAACAATGTGATAAGGCGCTATATAAAATGCAAGAATTGTTATTATTTATTGTATAGAGAATGACTGCAGTGTATACAGGAACCATTTTAGGGAGCCATTTCCTGGTAGTGTTTGCTTGAGTAATACGCTTGAGGAATACTGAGGATAGATTTCAAGGAACATCTCTCTACTGGTTTGAGGAAATGGATGCAAGATATTATCTCTAATAAGAATGATCGTTGCTCACATGACTCTTGCAAAATTTAGAGTGGACCAAGCCTCCAGACCATTTGATTTGTTTCTGTCTGCGAGCATGTTGCTCTGCTGGAGTCAACCAAACATCAGCAAGGTAAACATATTTAATTCACTTTATCAGGTTGAAAATTTTGTTTACAGTTCCAGACCAGCATTCGTTTCAGCAGTATTATGCTGGTGCAGAAACTCAGTGTCTTGTTTGACTCCCAACTGTTATGTCCTTTAAACCCCATGTGTGTGCTCTGACCGCTCAGCTTTCCCTCACCTCTGAAATTTTGCCCACCTCACTACCTCTTCACTCAGACCACCGAGACCCTCATCCATGCTTTTCTCACCCTCAGGGTTGATACTGTATGGCATTACAGTGACAGTGCATCTGGTTGAAGATGTTTTAGTTTGTTCTGTGTATTTTGCACAATGACCTGATATTGTTCATACACACAATGAGTCCGGTACCAATTAGTATGGGTATTGAATTCCAATGTAATCCTTTATCCTGTTTGAGAATTTTAAATTGTAAATCTATGCCTTCCAGTTCAGCTCTCCCTGTTCATGTATTCAAATGACAAAAGGACTAAAATATGAATTTTACATAAGTCAAAATCTTTCATGCATGCATACATCAACAGAGTGGTATAGAAATGGACACATAATCATACCAATGAGGTTCATGGATATGTGGTCTAATTGCTCAGTTTAATTATGAGTGCAAACTTCTATCTCTAGCCTCTGATAGGTTTGCATGCATTGTTGCACCACAGCCTATTTCTGCAACATATTTATTGCATTCACTAGCTAGAGGAACTGCTACATTACTGAAAATTTATAAAAATGTTTAAAAAGTGGTAGATTATCCAGGGAACCATTCCAATGATAGTTGCAAAGCTATGTGTAATTTTTCTATTTTTTACCATTGGTAAAATTAGCAGTTGAACCAGAATTCAGAGAATTTGTGGGCTTTCTGAAATCTTGAAATTAGTCATGTGGTTAAAATGTGCTAATGTTATACATATAAAATAATTTTGATACAGTCTACATTTCTTAGAAGCTGCTGTTAACACCTCATGTGTTGTGCTATTCTACACTTTGTTGCTTTGACCACATAGCACATTAGTCAGCTATATCACTGTCTTTACCTTACATCTGATCTCAGTAGATCAGACAAGCAACCAAATTTAAAAGTCTTATTTTATTGGACAAATCAATTTGAAACCAGTACATGATTTCTAAATAACATAGGGCTGATTTAAAAGAAACTCTTCATCATATTGTACTTGAGGCTTGGTTCTTTTCACCTCAAAGAACTTTGCACAATATTTTGAAGTAGTGTCTGTTTGCACAGGTAGCAAGTGATCTGCATCAGTATCATCCTATCGACAGAAATTAAATAAATATCCTGTTTTTTGATCAGTTATAATAATAATCCTTGAATTGATATA